AGGGGAAAGATCGGTCGTAAATAGGATTGAAGTTTAAATGGAATAATGCAGCCTGAAAAAGAAAGGGAGAGGGGCCGGAGTGCAAACCCAGAGGTAACGCAGAGGTGACAGCTACAGAGAAAAGCCCAGGCTAAAATAAGACTGTGTTTGGGAAGAAAGATGTTTGGGACAAAGGATTACAGATACAGGACAGGATTAAGGGAAAAAAAAACATTATAAAAATGAATAAGGCTTGTGTACTTAACTTTTAACCCTTTAACATTCACTCCTTGAAGAAAGCAATGTCATTTCTCCTTTTTGGGATTTTAAAAGATGTAGGAGCACTAATAAACTGTTGTTGTTTTTTTAAATATATACATTTTACCCCTATTTTCTTGTAAATTGATTGAGATGCAGTTTGATGGTAACAGTGCCTAAAACCAAGTGAGATATATTTTAGTTTCAACCTTAAAGTAGATATATCGAATCAAAAGGTGATCTACCAAATGGTTGAGGAAACTGTTAAAGGGTTAAATCCACATCAAATGTAACTATATGTGATGAAATACAAAGCTTCTCACTCTCAAAGAAATGTGCTTCATAACTAGTTTTCACATGAATGATATTTGGCCTCTGTCACATCTGAGGACCAATCAAATGAGTCAAATAGATACTCACAGGGCTCTATATTACACAAATGCAAAAGATAAAATGTCTGCTAGTGCGATAAGACCTCATGCTGTATTCTGATTTGTTCACAAGATTTGACTTTTGCAAGACTCTTTCTACAGACATAATGTGTGATTATGGAGAAAGAATAGTTAGGTACCCCAGATTGTACACAATTCATGGAAATATTAGCATCTATAGTGATGACAAAACAATAAGGAATGTACTGGATGACAATTTCACACTATTAAATAATTATAAGCCCTGGAAATGTGGACAAAAATGGAATCTATTGAACGTAATACAATTTTCATATGTAAGATGGTCAAGTTCAAACTCACCTGCACTTTAGATTACTGATGGGTAATGATTGACAGAACAATGGAAGGCTCTGTTTGTTTTCATCGGGGAGAGGGGAGAGGGTTGACAGAAGTGTGTATGAGCTGATCCCAGTTGGCCCACATTAAGAACAGACCATGCCTTCGTTACGACTCATTAAACTGCCGTAAAGCTGACGACACGGGCAGTAAGATTAATAAGTGTCCAACGAAGTACAGTCACAGGAGATTTACATGCACCAGGAATGCATACCATATCACTTCAGACTCTTTGCGGAGGCTCAAGAAGACAGGGGCTTCCTATTGTAAAGTTATTGTATAGGTTGGCAATGGGATGCATGAGTGTGGTCATATAACTGTGTGATTTTTCTGATTAACTTTGCAATTTACATCATGGTTTAAAAGTAAGAATGCCAAATGTGAAACAATAATAGGCTACAAGAACCATTTAGCCAATAAAAGAAACACTTTTCAGTTTGTTAGAGGTTAAAACTATAGTACAACCAGATATTTGTTTCTAATATCTAAAATATTCAATTTTTGTAGATGCTTGAATGAAGTTGTTTTTGGCCTAATTCAATAACATGTTTTTATTTCCTTAAAGTCAGTGGAAGTTGGGACCTTTTTTTAGTATTTTAAAATCCGAATGAAATGACCATAAACAAAAATAAATAGTTTTTCCTTAAATGGAGAATTTCTAGGAGTATTTTTAATATTTTTATTGATACTCCAATGTTATGTGTTACACCTGTTTAATATGAGAAAGCCAAAATCAGCTCATCTCTCAAATCAAAGCATGCAAAATATTCATATGTTTGCTTGTTTTTGTGTTTTTGCAAACCAATTTCTGCCATATCAGTAACACATCTTTCCCCATGATTCTACATTGGTAAATATAGCCATCATTACAAATTTAATGATGTCTGTCCCAGTCGCTGTAGCAGATAAGCGGAACATGAAATTAGCCATAATTAGTGTAGCAGCAGACATGGACCAAAAAAAGTCCCTCTGAATACTAAATGCCCAGCCAATAATAAGTGGGTGAATACAGTCCACTGAATCATTTCTCAGATCGATGCTCCTGCTAAGTGTGGTGGGTAAAAAGGCCCCCTCTGCCCGATCAGTTGGAGTGGACAATTAAAGTGGAGATAGGGGACAGCCTTGATTAGCACAGAGCTCCAGGGCTACACCGCTCATTTAACATGCAGCACGGCTCCTCTTCACCTCATGATGCAGACAATCAGTCAACTTCCCACATACAGCCTCAGATTGGCTATTGTTTGTATGTATAAAAGTATTCAAGTATTTTAGTGAAAAAATTTAATTATGATCTGAGGATTTGATTGACAATGGAAGAGAATACCATGGGACTGGTCAAAACACAGTATTATTAATATAGTAAAAACGATGTTTGAAGTTATATAAAGTGTTATTTATTCTTTGTGTTTGAACTTTTTGATTTTCTGATCTTTGTTGGTTTTGTATAGTCCTCTGAGATAACTACTGCTGTGATTTAGGGCTGTACAAGAACACATTGAATCGAATTGAACTGAATTGAAAGTGCCCCCCGCTGATCCCTGTCAGTGGTATGATCTGATATCACCAAATAATCAAAAGTCCAGTATCAATGTTACATCGGGTAAAGTGGTACCTGTCCTATAGTACGGCACTGCAAAAACTGCATCATATTCCCCACGGTTCCTTGCGTCAACAGATATATCTAAGTTAGAATTCGGATCGATGCAGGATATTTGGACAAGGATATTAAACAGATTTTACTGGTGTCTATAAAAACCTTTGAGAAACTGGATTTGAATGGCCAGCTTTGTGTTCATATAATGACTTCAGGTACTGTCACACAAATATAAAACAGTGACAGCATCTACGACAATCTAAAAGTTGATCTTGCAGGAGGGTGTAAGGACAGGGATGATCCAGGACTGATATGAACATCAGAGACATTGCTTATGCTGCTACCCTTTTGACAAATGGCTGATTTGTGGTTGTGTTCTGACATAATGAACGATGGCCAATGAACTGTTTTTTCCGGTCCTTCGTTACGACTGGTGTAGTCATTTAGGGATGTACAAAAACAAATGTATACACCCTTTACACACAGTACGTTTTTAATCTTAAATCCTCAAAATGGATCCTCTGAAACTAACCCAAGCCTTTATGTCTGCAGATGGAACAGGGAGCCTTGCATGTGAATGAGTTGCGCATGCATCAAACAGCGTGCATTTATAATCAGGCATTATTTGGTCACCTTTAGACTGTTTAAAGCAGCTCTCAACAATCCATCTTCTGTGATCCATGCGGCGCTCACACAGGTCCCTGCTTTGCCCGCTCAGCCATGCTCCTCGCCGCCGCCCAGCGCTACCAGGTAACAGTCTGTTGCCCACCGCTACTCACCGCCATGAAATTAAGCATAAAACATTAATAGAGGCAGATTAGCTCTTAAAACCAGAGTAATGTACCATGAAATGCTGCGACCATGCTCCGGCGATCAGAGGATGGCGAGAGCTGACCTGCCTCAGATTGGCTGCAAACCGACATCTGATGGATCGTCACTGTTGTGTTGTGTACCAGAACGTTTGTGTGATTTTGCTCGAAAATATTGTGTTTTTGAGAAACACATTGAAGCCACATAGTATCTGATGACATCATGAAGGAAATCCACTGTAACCTCAATTATTGTCATGACATAGAGTTTGAATTGTTTACTCATGGGCAAGAAAAAGTGAAGAATCTGATCAAAATAACAATTTTATAAATGAAATAAATACATTTTAATGGCTCAAGATTAACTATGTTCACATCATAGTTACAGTCCAAATACCACAGATCGTTTTGTCGCCTAAGTTCTCTGTATAGAGCAAGATAACCGTACGTGTCCGATTTAAGCGGCATAGAATAGACACAGGGAGAACATGCAAACTCTACAAATGAGGCTACATTCAGGTGCCAGTCCCAAGATCTATTTTGGGACTGTTTTGTTTGTAACAGTGTTATCAGATTTCAACCTTCTTTTGAATCAACAGTAATATGTTCTCAGTCCTTATGTACAATATTTTCTATCTGGGATTTTTGTGTGTGCTCTATAGGAAGCATTTATGGGAGCTTGTTTGAATCCATTTTTTTTTTTTTGCAGTCCAAAATTACAACAGGAGTGTCATAGAATTGTCAATTCGCCAGGAGCAGATTAGAAAATCAAACATTTAGAAATACAACAGTGAAACGCCAATTGATGTCTTTAGACCCTCCCTCATCAGCAAAGAACAACTAAAAAACGCAGTGGGAGACAAACAGAGAATAAGATAGATCCAGTCCCATGAACAGATCCCTCTCTCAGTCTGCAGATGCCTGACATTACTCACTTTTTCCAACTGGGTTTTATTTTTTGAGTCGTTTCTTGCCGATGCAGGAGAATCTAAGAACGGCGATGACCCGGGACATTTAAGGACATTTATTAGCATTGGTCATCACACTCCATATGGACCTATGGCTTAGGCTTATGATCCTAATTGCATTCCCTGATTCTCTGATCTGTTATTGATGAATCGACAACGACTGCTGTTGCGATTTAGGGCCATACACAAATGAATTAATCTCACGCACATTGGTCGAATGAGGTTATAGAGAATATATAACTGAACTGAAAAGAAATTTCTTAATGCTTTTTTTGCTCTTATTTGTATTTTGTTTATCCCCCTTTGCATAAAACGGATGTGAAGAGACGAGTGAAAACTGTTCACTCCAAAAGGGCCAAAGGTCGTTGATACGGATGTTTGCGTTTGTCAAGTGGATGCTAACTATGTTTTACTTTGCAGAGTGGGCTCTTTCTCCACAAACGGGAAAACACAATAGAGAGATAGATGCGCAGTGAAGCAGCTACAGCACTGTCGGATTCTACTGTTTATTCCCCCCATCACCAAACACACAAACACACACACACTCTCACACACGCTCACATCTCATGGCAACAGCAGGGCCCTGTCTCGATCAGGACGGTGCATGGATCCGCCGCACGCTGAAAGCAAACGATTTGAGGCATATGTCAAGTCCAAGTGCATTCAAAACACGGCACTGTCGGAAACACTCTGCTTTGGTTGTTCCACTTACATCACAGAGCTCCCCAGTCCCAGACCAGAGCCGTCATCGTCCAATGGCGTGGTGCCGTTCTGTTCCCCCCCACACTCACTGCTGCAGACTGCACTCCCGTCTGAACAACAGAGCTACATTTGCCTGCGAGGCTCGAGAGTGAGGCCCGCGACACCCAGAGACCCAGTCCCTTCACATTACGTGCGGCGGGACAAGCGGCAGTGAGCGCGCAGGACGGACAAGAAGGGTGGGCTCCAGCAGAGGTGCAGGGGAAGGAAACACCTAAAAAGATTCAGATCTAAGGATAAAGTGACTAGAGTCAGTGTTTTCAGCTCAATGAAGACTTCCAAAGCTGTCCCTAAAGCAAAATAACCTGTTCATAGAGGCCTGAGTCTGACCATGATCACTGTGGTGTGATTGGCGGGGCAGGGGTCTTGAGGAGCCCCAGACATAAATGTGCATTGGTCCTATAAATCAACTACACAATGGCTAAAGTATGGCATTCATCCAAAAGTATATAATCATAATATTAGATTTTTATCTCCTTTCATTTAGACGGCCCTGCTCCAGTTGGTTCGAAGTTATTTCCTTATGGAACAGGAACCAAAGTCACTGCAAATTTAACCCGGATTGCAAATCATTCTTAATCCATGAAAGGTGTCATGAGCTAAGGTGAAGTTATTAAAAGGATCATCTCATTGAAAGGGGATTTGTACATTACAGAATACAGACAGATCTCAGACTCTGTGGCACATCTGGGAACAACATCTGATAACATCAACGTCAGACCCAGCATCCTATTTGCACATAAGAATAATGAAACCAACACCAAAGATTATTTTTGAATAATTTTAAAGGAAACAACAGCAAAACCAGAATTTGCTCGTCCCAATAAATTGTCACAAATATCTGCTTCTAACTTCTTGCACAAACGTGATGGATGAGGCGTTGTTGCTTCCCACTGGGCGATCTGTAATGGGGTTAAAGCTGGGATGAGTGGGTTCACTCCTCAGTCCTCTTCTTAAGACCCTGGAAAATGACTGTCATCATCTCTCACAGCAGGCCGGACGCTTCCTCTACCAAGATGGCCGACTTTACTTGTTTATTTATCCGTCTGGACTTTTCGCAGACGTTTAAATGGTTTTCAAATGGTAATCGAGTACGGCAGACACAACACTAGCCTCGTATAGACAATAACATATTCTTCCCACTTTAGTATGTAAAACTGATATGATAAATGACCGAGAGATCAAGCAGGGACAGATTCCGCAGTGGGATAGAGTTCACAACAAGTCGACCCAAGGACTTGGCTAACGACTCTTTGCCAAGTAAATGATGATAAACCGCGTGTCTTCCTGCATTGACTGCGCATTACCTAATGAGGTTCAATGGCAGTGGTGAGCGGTAAAGACAACAAATATATTATATCAATGCATCTTAAATGGACATCCCTGAGGAAACCCATCTGAATTGTAAATTTATGCACAAGCCTCATTTTTCATGTGCTTCAAGCTTAAAATACCAAACAACTGTGTACTTAATGTGCAAGGTTTCACATCGCTCCGACAGAGACATACTGTACAAGGGCGGATGGATACTAATAGAAGGAACATGGACACTCAGTTCTCGTCATCTGTCCATTTTTAATACACAAAACATAAACGTGTCTTTTACCACTGCCTATAGTTCTGTTTTTGTTATGAATAATATTATAATGTATATCTCTTTCCTTCTTTTTCCACTGTATTATTTGTATCTGATGTATTCTCATATAACCACACAATACACACACATTGTTTTGTATGTCTGTCATCGTTGCTGTTTTTTGTTGTGTCTTGTCCTATACACGTATCTGTAATATCATTTCTATATTAGGAGTGTGGCGTGAATAGTGACTTCAGTGTAGCACTTTGAGAAAATGTTGTGTGTAAACAAAGATGGCTGCCCGTCCATCTTTCGTCCATCCAGCAACGGGCAATGGTTTTATTAATTTATTAAGTAGCCACACCTGATAGTATATGGCCAGTGCAGACGTATGTGTTCTTGAGGGTGTTGAGAGTGGAATTTAAGGAAAGGAGAGGCAAGTTTATATGTATAGCACAATTTCAAAGTGTGGAACAAAATAAGATAGACAATTAAAAAGAGTAAAGAAAAAACATGGCTCAACAGAACTGTTTTTAACCTGGAATTTTTTGAAACATTGTCAGAGAAGAATCCTGTCTCACATCTTCATGAAGACTGTTCCAGACTTTCTCATTTGGTATTTGCAGCTAGAACAACCATAAATGCAGCCACCTGGTATTTTGATGCACTGATCCTGCGTCCTGCTGGTGTAAACAACATGGACAAACGCAACTCTTTCGCTACCTCAATGTGCGCACAACTTTTTGATGAAGTACGATGAAATAAAAAAGCGTAAGTTATGTATTTATTACACACATTATTCTTGCATTGATCACCATCACAGTGTTTTGATAGTTGGCTGACAAAATAATGCTTTTTTCTCTTATACCATTGTGTTGATTACATGGATAATAAATGTAAAAATGGCACGTGCAAATAATCAAAACAATTAAGTGTGTGCGTCAGAAGTTGCACCGTGGATCATATGGCGCGTATCGCTTGCAGGTATTTGCTTTATGTTCACAGAATTTTTCGCAGCTGAGGTGTTGAACTGTGACCACGGCAAACTTCAGTCATTCACCTTCAGGAAGAACAACTCAAGATGTGAAGAAACAGAGAAAGATGTGATCCCAGCGGAGCCACAGGAATAAAAGCGTCCAACAGGGGGCGTGTGCCTCTGCCCCACATGTCGGCTGTAGCAGAGACCTGGCCCGGTCTATTTCTGAACACATGAACCGTGGGTTGTCTGGGTGGGAGTAGCTCTGACAACCTTTAATGGGGAGGTTCAAGCACATCAAAAGTTACATGGAAATAAAACAAAAGATGGCTATTTCTGTTATTATTACAAGATAGGAAAGGAAGAAGATACATGCTTGTTGTACTTATGATGAAATAATTGGCTGGAGGAAGAATTATAACAAAGTAGATCAAAAAGACGACAAAATCATTTTCATTTCATTTATTTATTTATTTAATATGGACATAGCAATTAACATTGGACGAACCAGATGCATTGTTTAAAGTGTTATAGCACAAGTGCTAATTTTCAACACCTGTCCATAGGGGGCTTTTAGGTTACAAAGATAAAACACATTAGGAAACAAGGTTACAATAAAACACATTATTAAACAAGATAAGACATGTTTTAAACATGGGAACAAGTTTGGCCCGATTTGAGCCACTGTTTAAGCTCTCTGGTAAAGATGTTGATATTATTCTGCAGTTTCAGTGCAGTGGGGAGAGAGTTCCACAGTGTAGCCCCTCTAAAGGAGAAGCTCGACATAATCAACATAGAAGCTTGCAGTTCTCATGTTGTCAGTATCTTTTTTAATCTTTCTTTTTAATGTACTGTGATTATTTAAGATTTCAATGTTATCTTTTTTTGCTCAGCACTTTGAGTTGCCTTGTGTTTGAATTGTGCTATACAAGTAAACTTGCCTTGCCTTCAGACCCTCAAGATATTGTGAGTAATGCTCTAAGCAGCCATGTAATTATGATCATAATACACATGCCTTTTTCTCCACACTCGTATTGCTCTCATTTGAACGTTTTTAGAAATCAGATTGACCTTTCTAGTTAAGATTAAGAGACCCTTTATTCCTAAGTTAGGCCTATTTTCCATGATTTGGTTTGCTGTTTCTGGGCGTTTCCTCACACAAAGAATGGTATGGGCACTCATGAACTTACGGAGCACCCAAGTGACAGCAGTACATAAGAGAGCACTTACAGAGGTGCTAGTCAATTTTACTGATTTAAATTTTTAAACGTATACATCCACAACTTGTCTTTCTTGAACGTCCTTCTGCCCCTCCCAAGGTCACGTCACTGGGGACTACATACCTTGTCTTTGGCTGAGCTGTTGAGGCTCACACCATCACCTCCAAAGTGCTGAACATGGCTCTTCTGACAGAGGGGGTATCCCATCATACACCTCCGCCTGGATCCCTGTCACATCCGGACCAGAGGGGCAGCTGCAGGGGTGTCACCGGGGTGGACGTGCCCTGTCACGAGGCGACGCCGCCGGACAAGACAGAGGGCAATATGTGGACAAGCTGCTGTGAATATGCCAGTCATTGTGATGTGTTTGGGGCTAAAGGGGGAATGCTGAGGAGACGAAAACGCACGTATGACCTTGTGCTGTTGGGGATTAGCTCTTTCTAATACATGTATATACAGATACAGTCCTGTTGTGTCCACTACATGCTAAAATTTTATAATTGTATATGTTCTGGCTTTGACATTAACCTTCATCATTTTTGCATTATTCAACAACAAGATATAAGATACGATAAAACTGTATTGATCTCACAATGGATAAATGTCCATGCTATATTTGGCAGAAATACGATCACTGCAATGAGATAGAAAATGTGAAAACAACAAAAGAAAAGATTTAGAGAATCTCATGTTCACTAAAAACATTTCCAAAGAAAACTACATTCCTAATAGAAGCTTGATCACCTCTTTCCAGATCTTTCTATCTCAGCAAAAGTCAAAGTATTGAGATTAATCAATGGATTTAACTGAATATCTTAAACAAAGAGATGGATCATAAGAAGAGAAGAACCGTTAACAAACTGGACCAGAAGAAAATTAAGTTCTAAACATTACATTGTTCTAAACATTACAAATCTCTTGAGGTTGAATGTAATGTGCACTAAGCTACTGCACGATGAAAAATATGTTGAAAGTCATAGGTCTCCGTGTAGCCTCCAGTAAAACAGTAAACAGCACTGAGCCGAGGCTAAACAAGGGGTTAATGAGAACATCACAGGACCACTCCGTACAAGCTCTCCTTTCACATCCCCCGTTGACGTCATGTTGTTTGACTTCCATCCCTCATCCGACAACATCCTGCTTGTTTGTACGTCGCTCTTCTTGTTATTCGAATGCCATCAGTGCGGCGTCGGCCCCGGTGCCAGTTGGCCCCTGGTCTCCTCCTCTTGCGGGGCACCTCTCACCAGTCATCCAGCCGCCATCTGTCCGGTTCTTCGGTCTCGACGCCCGCCTCATTTGGTGGCACCGCAGGACTGAGCTGGAGAAGTGCTCTTATCAGGCTCATGTGGAGACTGTAATTAGTCAGTGGGCTTTTGGATGTACCAGCTGGGGTTAAGAGGTGGCCGCGAGGTCTTGAGAGGTGGTCCGGGATGTTCTCAGCCAGCAGAAAAAAGGGGGGGAATACAAAATGAAATTGGGACGTTGCAGTGACAGCGGATGGAAGAGACGAGAGAAGTTTTGGTTTTTTGTCATTTTGTTCTTAAAAAAATGATATCTAAGATGCCACATGTGTGTCTTTTGTGTTGAGTCCCATTCCGGATCAGCACACATAGTTTAATGGCATATCTTAATTGCGCTAATTAATTTGTTAAATGTGATCCAAACTTCATGTGACCTACTTTGTCTTCATTCACACTGCAGGGTGTGATGCACAATTCTGATCTTTTCCACTTTACGATAAGAAAAGTGTATGTGTGATGGGAGACGTCCTTCTATCACCTGCTGTGCCGTGTTGGCAGAAGTCTTTGACCTGTTCCTCACAAATGTATCCTATTATCTGCTCCTTGTCCATCATTTGTCTGTTTTGATAAATTGTGACATTTTTACTGTTCATTCTGCAGTCATACAATATTTATACAAGAGTGGGTTGGGTTTGTACCGTTCACACAAACACAAGAAAAAACAGATAAAAGTTTAATCTTCACCACAAGGACATAAAAGTGCTGTATTGATACATGTATGATGCAGCACTTATACAGCAACATACAAGAATTAAATAGATATAAAATCATATTTATAGGATCATTCTGACAGTGTCTAATGCTTTGATAGAGATACATTTAAATATCTAATTTGAAGAGAGTTATTCACTGGAATTGACTAAAACTCTCCATGAGATCACCTGTCATACATTTTTTTACACCTGATCCATGACCTTAATGCTATACTAAACTTACTGTAGGTAGGCTCAGCCGTATGAAAGCTAACCAGGGCAGGGCCTGCTTAGCTTTATACCTAGTATGAGTCTTCTGTCTGTCTCCCCCAGGGTTGATGTGGCTACAGTAGTTTATCCCCACCGTGTATGGATTAAATGAATACTACCATGTGAAGCGTCTATAAGTGTCTAAAAAGGAGCTATATAAAACTGAAGCAATATTATTATTATTATTATTATAACAGTCTTGTTGGATACTTACACTTTTATTAGCTCTATGCTCTTCTTTCTCTGCCAAATATGTGCAACACAGCTTCTATAGTAAAAATCTGTCTAATATTAACTTGTTAAAGAGGTGAAGTTCAAATTGAGAAAAGTGGGATTGTCACAGAATGAAGACCTCACTCACAACTAGGTCACTGACAGAAAAGGGGTTTTGGGGTCACAATCTCAATCATTTTATTCTGGTTTTTGACATTATACTTAAATCCTAATCAGAACTGGCCCTTTTTTTATATATAACCAACTGAATTTTTGTCCAAATATTATGCACATTATCAACATGACATTCTTGTTAGCCTGTGAATTTACAGAGAATGCTTTTACAATCCTTCTTCACTTATTTGTATTAGATTCACTACAAACATTTCCCTGACACATTTGATCAAACGCATTTGTCACGACTGCAGCTTTACCCCGCCATTGTTCCGTGTGTGGTGCTAGACCAAACAAAAGCCACATTATCCTAAGGCGAGTTGTGGCTCCCTGGGTACGAGCATCTAAGTGGCACTTTGGGTATTTGTCATGCATTTAAAAAGCCTCTAAGCCTGGACCAATTACACACATTCAGGTAACCTCCTCTTCATCTGACTGCCTTCTCTGTCACACGGCCCTGGGTCAAATCCAACATGGCGGAGGTAATTTAAAGAGATGAAGGCTAGCAATTCTGTCTCGCCACCAATTGAACCAAGCCAGTGTCTGGGCTCTCAGTATGTTTGTTCGTGCATTGATGTCGCCCAATTACGCAGCTATAGTTTGACTTTATATCTTTGTGGCTTTGAGCAGGTGAATAATAGCAGCGTCTGAAGTTTTATTTTGCTTTAAAACACTCGTTCAAATCATGTTTTTACCCTCACGGCTAATTCCATTTCCAACAATCGTGCTACACAAGTTGATGTTTGATTTTTTTTCTTTTTTGTGTCACCAATCTATCCATACAAGCTGGTGGCATTTTTTCCAAGACTCGATCCATTCCCGATCCATTTTTCCACATCCTTAAAACTTGGCTGCTTTAGATGTTTAAAGATAAAAGCGATTCGGCGTTAGCGAGCTTTAAAAGAACCCGGTTTTACCTGCGGATTCAAAGGAAGGACACTGCAGCCGCACATGTCGAGACTTAAAGGGAATGTCTCGCTTTCATGATTCACAAACACACCCATTGCTACATCAGTAATAAGCGCAGGTGGCTTAAGAGAGAGGAGTCAAAAGCTGAAGACTTAAATGAGAGGGAATGACCGCTGGCACTGGTTTGATAGCAGATGCAACATAGGACACTCGCACAGCTAATTGGGCTAATTTAGCAGCGAGAGAAGAACCAGCGTCTCTCTGAGGAGCAAGTGGCTACTCTTTTCATCATCCATCTCGCCTCGTCTGAACTTGCACCAACTCCAGCCGGTCCTAGCTGCTTTATCGCGCTGGGTCTTATCATCTGGCTTTCATAATGAGCTCTCCTTTTTCCCAATCTTGTCATTCACGCCAGGCCTATGTGAAGGCACCTAGCATTCAAAAATTCATGTAGACAGTGGGATGATAGATGTCGGACGAAAGATACACTGCTTGAGGTTTATAGATTATTTAGTAAATGTCCGACACGACGCCCATGGGCCAAATGCAGCGCAGTTTCTAACACATGAGGCGCGTAAAGTGAGTTCATTGGGCAATAACAAGTGTCTATTAAGAGGCTTAAGGTTTGTTTAGCTTGAAAGATGATCGTTTTCATACATAACTCAATATTCTCTTGGTTAAACAATGGTTGCCGTTATAAAAGTGCTTTTCTTAGTGGAAAGATAGATTACTTTTAAATGTATTTGTTCACACCATGAAGGTATTACGACACAAGGATTACTTCTTTTTTCACATATAAGTAGTTCAGATATTTCTACAGTAAATTTTTCTGAACAACATAAGTTACTGTTTGTTTGGATTGAGCCTACAACTGTTGGACCTTTGGTTTATAGTTATTGACTGGTTGGCCAATGATTTAATTAAGATAAGAGATAAAAAAAATATAATTATCCATTGATTGTTTTAATAAACTACTCTGAATAAAATTATGATCAAATGTTAGAATGTATTAAATGGCATGGTTGTTTTCTTGAGAACATTAAAATGAGGTATAACATACCATGGCCTTATTAGGATAATCAATGCTGCAAGTTGACCATAATCATGTTAAATCAGTTTATGGGCCCCTAAAAATGGTCCCCTGAGCCTGCATGTTTGTCGCAAACTGCTGTGAAGGACCGTCATAAAGTCTGTGTTGTGCATTCTTCATAATAAATGGCATTGATGAGAAGAGAATATCTGGGCCCATGCAGATGGTTACCCAGTGCAGCTCAGAACACATTGTGTGCGTGCAAGGTATTTAGGGAGATGTTTCTACCAATTAAAAATGCAACCCGTATTTCCCCACTGTGGGACAAATCAAAGTTAACTTTTATTATATATATCTTATGCTATTTTAATCATGTATAGGTTGAAAAATGTGTAATTCACAATATACTTTGCTACCCTTTGGAAAAGGATTGGGAAATTGTTTAAAAACATCAGTTCAAACCTGGTGACATTTGTGAAACTTAAGTTCTGAAGAAGAGAGAGGAGTGATGAGAGTGATGGGACAGGTGTAGGGTCAGAGAGTGTTTGGGCCTGTATATTATGTTGGAGAGTGTATGTGTGTGTCTACTGCATTGTTTTTGTGTTCTTCTTTTGTGACATTTTGATTGCTTTTTGTCTGTTATTCTTGTATTTTGTTCTATACATTTTTGTTGTACAGGTTTCTTGATGGGTTGAATGATGCTGTCTGCAATAAGAGAAAAATATTCAAGAAAATATTGAGAGATCTGGTCTTGCAGGCTCTTGTGAGGTCTTTCTTAAAACAAAGCAGCACATTCATCTTTTTTGTTTGCTTTTTACTAAAACCGCCACTTTACTGGAAAAAGTTTGCCTCTTCTTGTTACCTCATCCATCCCTGTTATTGTACTTGTACAGGACAGCCCTGCCAGCTTGCCCCCAAACCCCAGTGTCGAGTGAAAGATTAGCATTACGCAGCCATCGCGCGCAACATGATATGAAAACACACAGACACACATAGACTCACTTCTGGAGAGCAAGTCACGCCAAGGAAGATAATCTACTTTGTGAGGGTTCCTTAAGGCGCCGCAAAGACTATTCTCCTCCAATATCAATACAGACGATGCATTATGAATCCATGTTTGGTGCTTCTCTGAACTTAACCTAATCTGCCATCTCTTGTGTGTTTCGACGGTAGATTCATATGATCTCTTGGCATGAATGATCGTCTATGTGACATGTCCGCACTGGAGATTTCCTATGTCCACAGCCGATGGCACTGGGCCACTCACTGGTCATCTCTACCAGTGGGATAAAGGGGACGGGAAAAGGCTGGGTTTTGAAACTCAACATATGTTATTCTCTTTTCATATAGTGTGATGCCTGGCAGGGAAATTTGTGCATTATGACATGGAGAATAAAAGAGGGCCTGATTCGCCCCCGAGACGGAGACGCACGGACAGCCAGGAATAATATCGAAGATGCAGACGTTGGTGGTGGGTGACACATGGACTGCAAGGAGGCATCACAAACAATATATCTGACTTATATCTGAGAAAAACGAGAAAAAAATGTATGTCGGTTTAGGAAAGGGAAATTACAATCTGCGGATGTGTACGCTCGTCTGTCATTTTGAATTTTGATCGGGAGAAAAAACATCAATACGAGAAGAATAATAGATCATGTAAGGTTCAGAGATTGGAGGAGAAAGAAACGCCTCAAGCATCTTATTCCAAACCAGCCACTCATATATTCTGGCAGGATGTCACTATTTGCTATTCTTAGTGGTCGCTTCTGTAAAAAACCAAAGAGAGATTAGCCCATTTAACAAA